CGCGCATAATTAAAATAGGTCACTTGAGGCTTAATTCAGTCTTAATTGCACAACTATCGTAGTAAGGGCGATAGTACAAGCTAAGCCTGGTAACATCCCCCGGTCGGCGAACACACCTACACACGAAAAGATAAATCGCTCTCCCAAAACTCCATTTAATTCCCGACCGTAACAAAATTTAGATCTTTTAGCTTCTTTTTAATCTCTCACTAGATGCAGGGGCTCCAAAACCCCAATAACACCGTTACTAGGAAATTTGTCAAGAAAGCCTCCCAATTCCTGGACCTAGGAAATAACATTTAATATAGGTGGGGCTGAAGCTAACCTGAAATTGATCACGTAATTAATATAGGGTAGCTAAATCTATCACGTATGTAATGTTTTTTGCGATTTCGAATGAATGATTTCTTAAACTTTCAGGTCACATAACTTGATGTTAGCTTTTTTGGCAACACAAATGTTGGTAATAGAAATTTTATCATATTACTAGCTAACATACTGCAAATATTAATATGTTGTACACTAGATGCGCTAACTTCAGTATTAATTTCACGGGTAATTGCATTGCTATTTATATTTATGGGACGGTCGGCGACTATTGAATAGTACCCTAGTTTCTCAACGAAAAAGCAAGATATTCGGGTAATATTTATAAATATGATAGCGCTTCTTTTGCGTTTTTAAATGTGTGTAAATGTGTGTAAAGTTATATGTGAAATGCTTTTACCGATTTTTTAAATATGCAAGTCGCATAACCTAATTTTACTACCTAACATATTGCGCTAAATTCAGTATTAATTTTGCGGTGATTGTATTGTTTATTATGCCAATATTCTCATTTACTTGCAAATGTAAGGGGTGGTCGGTGACTTTTGCCATGGGATGTATCCCTAACATTAGTAATTGATTATTTTTGTGTGGCAAAAATGGCGTTTTTAATAATGATGAAAATATTATAATTCAATTAGCTCTTTACGCAAATGACATGCAATATACTGCAACTTCCACAATAACCTGACGCAGACATATGCATTTTTTTTCCCAAAAAAAAAATAAAATAAAAATGTGAATATGACAACATCGATTTGATGCCTCCCTATGCTCAAGTTCTACATTTATTATTTATATGTTTTGGACATCAAACAAGACTAAATCTATAGTGAATCAAATTAGACAAACGCGTTTTTCTCAGAATCGATTGGATTCAAACCATTTATTACATCTAGCGATATATCTTTGTTTCAATAGGGACAGCTATATATTTTTCTTAGTGATTGCTTGTTTAAATTATTGTTTGTTTGTGTCTCAACTCAGCCTATTACATCTACTTGCATAATGCAAACTTTTCCTTTTTATTTTTTTGGCAATGATCAACACCAAAAACGGCTTTTGATTTAAAGTGCTATGCTATGCTATGCTATGCTATATTAAGTGATAAAGGATGCTAGGGATAAATTGTCTTTGAATGGCTTGGTATAGCTTTTTCTCTTTATGGTTTAACTTGATTATAGAAGTCTTCGGGGCAGATCGTATCCACTCTTACCAATGCTTCATAAAAATAATGAGGACAACAATCCCGAAAACAAGACAAATGCCTTAGAGGATCTCAATAAAGTAACAGGAAATTGGTCAAAATAAAATTGCACTATATATAAACTGCAAAATATATTTATCAATGAGGAATATCTTAGTTTGAAGTAAAATAAAAGTTTAAGTTGATAAACTAATACGTATACTGTGTATCTACTCGCTTGGCGTTAGTCTGTCTGCTTTACCAATAACGGGAATAGCATTAAATTGTAGTTATCTCCAAATTCGCCCCCGTCTACGAGTATACTAACCATCGACGTTAAAAGTAAGCGAATTGATTACTTCTATGATGAAGACTATCAGATTCTAATTCTACGGAATTACGATTAAACTATTCACACAAAACACTTGTTATGAACCCGTTAATCATGTCTTTCTGGCAGTGTAGTTTGAACTCCTTGCATATACAATATAATAACTTCTTTACATTTTGAATACTGTCAGTGAGCAATTTGCTGTCCTGATTCGTATGAGGACGTCTAAACAAATTAATGAACACCGCCAGATATGGATACTGAAGTAAAACCACATCGGAATATTTTGGACGTTGAGAAGCAACAATGCACGTTCAACAAAGCTTGTCAGCACGTAAATTAATTGTGACAGAGTACTAAAACGTATGCCATGTTCTCATAATAGGGTGCTAACAGATATTTAATACTCCTAACTATATCGATGTTCGCGTTAAACAAGTCGGTCGTATAAGAATTATGTCAATAATTCGGATTGGTTGAATTGTCTTTTTTTTTTTTTAACCAAACTAGTTAGCAATTCATTCTCGCTTGCTGAGCGTATGTTTAAGCATGAACAACGAATATATCAATCCATTGTTTTTTAACGTTAAAACAATATCATTAGCTGAAAGTGTGCGTTTTTAGTGTAACAAGTTTTAATGAGTAAAAGGATACAGCTCTTGTTGATGCCATTGAAATCAATGTATTCCATGTCGGAAGATATCGCGTAAATTATTACATTGCTTTCGGAATAACGAATCTTTCAGATTATTGAGGCAATTCTGTTGAACGGATGGCTTTGTTAAAGTAAATTTCAATGTGTAAATTGTTCAGTTGGTTGCGTACTTGAAATAAAATTTTTTTTACCAAATTCAGTTATCTATGTGTGTGGTTATAAGGTTACTATAATAATTTAACCACTGACTTTGGTCCTCACGAGTTTATTGGTGTCACAGCCACGATCGTTAGATGACGAATGGACGCTCTTCTGTCGATCAAAGTCCTCACGCAACAGAAAATTATTCGAGTAGTTTAAAGCAAGTCTTGAAAACTAAATGCGCTAGTATTCAATAGTTTCCAAAATTACGAGTCTTTCAATACTGATAGATTTATGTTATATTGCAAGCAAAAAAAAAAAAAAAAAATTAGTTTTTTTATTAATTTTTTGTCCTTACCTCATAAATTCAAACATGTCATAGCCTCCAGTTGTTTTTCTTATAAATTAGACCATATTATATTAGTTTTACTCGTTTCTCTGGTATTAATTCTCTCTTTCAGTTTAAAGTTCGGTTAGGAAGCCAGCGCTTCTTTTTTGATACGCCAGATATACTGGAAAATGCAACTTATTATAACCTTGGCTCACATATTTATTTCTACCTTTATATTCTAAATAGGGTTTGCTTTTGAATCCAGTTACTCAAGAGTCTTGTCAGGAGAAAATTTTTATCTACCACCACAAATTTGGTTACGAGGATCACTAAGCCAGTATATATGTGGTCCAATATTTATTGCAAAGATTTATTACATAATAATCTTACGTCTTTTATTGCAACAAATTACCTATGAATAATTACTAAAACCTCGTAAAGTCGAACCTGAGGTAATTAAAGTGTGAGTTATCAAACTCGGCGAACGCACCATCGACAGTACACACCGGTTCCGCTGCACTAGGTTTACACAAGCTGTCCAAAGAGATTACGGCCCTGCCCATCTATCAGTAATAAAAAGTTAATATAATTCAATACATTAATTAATTATAATATTGCTGCATACTGTAATACCAGATCATCTTTGTTGCGACCAGAATCCTTATCCCAAACTTCGATATGGAGCTTGCGAGATCCACTGTAGAGAGGAAAGACAAAAGTTTCATCATAAAAAGGGAATAGTGTGTTCTTTTTAACCGTCGACTTTTGCTTAGGATTTCCATCGACCCATAATTTAACATACGGGTCGCCTATAGAATCAATAATACGCAATATTTTAGTCGATACAATACGATTTGTTATTATTCGAATACAAAATAATCCTTACTAAGGTCGGCTGGTAAAGGAAGAATAGTGCATTAGTAGGAGACAGTGGTTAAATGAGACAAATTGACAGGTTGATATAACCCACCTCCTGGATCTTTGTCAGTCAATTCTTCTCCATTAACTTTGATAAAACAATTGTATATTAATATCCTAATACCGCGTATATATAGCTTGTCAAGAAGGCTCTGATACCTACGGATAACAACTTTGACCGCGCCAATGGGCGTTTTTGCACTGACATGACTCAAGAGGCAGAAAATTGCAAATAAGAGAATTATAATCGTTGATTTGGGTGATGCCATTTTTTTAAAGCTCTGTTCGTTGATGTATATTGGGTGACTTGTTTCTGCTGTTAGCACAGTGAGAATTTAAAGAGCGAGAGAAGGCGTTTATATAACCAACAGTCGGAGAAAACCGTGGCTGCACGCTGGTTCATTGTCGACTATGGAGTTTGCCTTTCTGAGACGTGTTCTGTTTATAAGTATAAGATTGTATTTTACGTTATGCAATGTCAATGTACATATATGGTTTTGTGATAGCATGATTATCATAATGATGATATTTAAAGCGGTATGACATTATCGGGAAAATTGTTTAGAAACAAAAATGAGTGCTATACTAATATGCAGTACACTGAATCGCGCGCTCTATTTTTAGATGTTTCGGGGGTTTGATCTATTTCCGTCTATGATTGCTGATCATTTATTTGCGGACATAGAAATAGAACCAACAGATTGATGTAATACAATAATGCGATCGCCCAATCATTCAACAAAGACAAAGTTTTATGCCACGCACAAAAAATCGATAAATTAAAATCGAAATTTCTATTTTGCACAATCTCGTGTTCATACTAATACGCATTAAAAATGGTTACAATTATCAAGATAAAGTACATCGAAAATAGAGTGCGCTCTACAAACAGACAAATTAGCTTATTATTATGGGATATTTAACACCTGTTCACAAATTTATTTTTAAACTGGTATGCTCAGTCATTTAATCATTGCCTTTTTCATAGTACAAGATATTATAGTATAAATTTTGCCACTGATTGCATGTATCAACCGCAGTTTTGTAAACAATTGATAACAAATGCTTGAGTGAAGACAATACCAAAGTTAGCTCGTATCACTATCTTTGTCTTAGGGCTCGCTCAATCAATATACTTATCTCAATCTACATAGCCCATCTTTAACATTGTTCAAAGAAAGACCATTAACAAATGCACCTAGCGTACAACTGATAGAACAGCAACGACAGTACAAATGCTTGCTTAGCACAATAGGCTATACATATCGGTCTAGCCTCAAAAACCCGTCTGAGTTGACAATCAATAAATACTCTTGTAAATTTTACACTCAAACATAAACATGCCGCCAATATTATTATTGTCGGAAAATTTTGTATACCACTTTCTTTTGTTTTTGACTAGTTAAGCAATTGCTTATACACAATTTGACAAAGATATGAACTGTTACTAACTTAACTCCAATAAGTAATACAGGAATGGGATTAGTCATAAACGAATCGAACAGAGTCCATCTAAATTGCATAAGAAACCTGTTGTAATATTGGGAAAGACACAGTAGTTTAGATTATGAGAAATGCATTGATAAGCGACTTGTTTAATTATTCTCCTTTATTCATGATAATCTGTTATTCTTGAAGAGACTAAGTAAAACTTGACGATGATTATAACATAAGTTGATTGCAATAATGTTAGGTCTTTGTAGCGAGTCTCTTTCTTCGTCATTCAAACATTCAGCCAGTTCACATTCTTTCTTCATATTAATGTTTCTCGGGTTTTCTTTGAGCATCCACGCTCGTATTTTACTGACATTTGGAAGAATCTTATAACACGCCTTTTCGTTTGCTGATATGTTTGTCGAAGAAGCTATTGGAATACGCTTTCCGTATCCTTTTCGCATCTTCCAAATCTTAATATCACTCTACTCCGTTTATTTGTGCGCATTCCTTCATCATTATCACTCGATACACTTCTTGCCTACAGAAACAACCAAATAACTCTCCGTTCCTTCGGCTCAAATATCTGTGGGTACTATTTCTAGGTGAAAATTCTTCCAGTAATATTAAATAAATTCGATAAGCTTCTTTTTACGTTTTATACAATGAGTCCATACACGCACAGCATGCTTTATTTTTAAACTTAGAGTTAGGAAATGGATGAGCATTTTACTTTCTATTTTCATATTGCACAAACTCATATATACCTTGTCACTAACTCGAAATATTTGCAGAACTTAGTTAATAATATGAGCATTGATAAGTTTTGAAGAACGTGCATGTCGGTGATAGCAAAATTGATGATATTATCAAATTACCGACTGTATTGTAAATTTTTGCAATCCTGCGAACACTTAGAGGCGTTCTTCGTTTCGTCATACAACTGCAAGAAAACTACGGACGCGTGAATGTATGAAATTATTAATAATAATAATGTATAAAGCAGACGGCAATTGACGTGTTTTTAATCAAAGCAATATAGTTACTCTTATCTTACAGTATTATGTGAAAATTGTGTTAGTATGATTATAATTCTTTAAGTTTGTATTTCATTTAAAAGCATAAGGTGTTTAAAATAATCATAGTATTCGATGCTTGGGAGCGAGTTTAATTTGATGGAGTAAAGACACTATTTCAAAGCTATGAAAAAGTGCTGAAGAATCTAATTTGTGGTAGATGCTATATCGGTTATCTTTGGTTGATTGCATTATCTTTTTCATGGTTGACGAGAAAGTTTGCTTTTATAGAATTTGTTCAATTAACTAAATTTGTCTTGGAAGAGTTATATTAATAGATCGACCTTTGTCCAATTTTCATTATTACTATCGATAGCGATAGATAGATGTCTTGGATTTTTTAGACCGTTGGTTGTTTAAGAGTAACCCTATCGCTAAACAGAGATAATTATTTGCACCTTATCAGGTTATTAGACAATGGAGCACACTACCTCTGATAAATGTACAAGAAAAACTCGCTAACTGTACTGTTAATGTATTCATGTGATCTCAACTCAGTACGATGCGATGCAATAAATTTTTATGTTGAATTATCAACTACTACTCCTTCCAACCATTATAAATCAGATGATTGTCGACGTTTGGGCTCACTAAAAATCATGTTCCCACAAATATAATTCACGTGAGTTTCAGTTAATTAATTACCATCGAGTTTTAACGTGCAAACAGACTTTTCGGCCCAATTTCATTATCATCATCCACCCAGTTGAATATGTATGATTCTTTATTACCCAAATTAGACATTCTCTCCATTCGGATATATATACGTATTCTTCTTCGCTACGCTGTTATTTATTATCAGAAGAATTGTCAAAAGACGAGCACTATAACTTACTAATTTTCACCAAGCACAAATATTGTGATAAACAAATGATGCATTTCAATTCTCGACCCATACTGTATATGATGCAATAAATCCAAATCGGTAATAGATATTCTCTCCAGCAAATTACAACAACAAGGGAAAGACACACGCTGTGCGAAATTCAGAGCATTGCTTGGAACGGCTTGCGCAATCTCACTATTATGATGTGAAGATCGTCATATAGAAGCGTACATCATTTTTGGGATAATGTCCTGTAAAGTGAGTTTTCAACAACGAACGCACCTGTCATGTATGATCTTATTCCGCTCTCTCTCTACAACAACACCATCCACGATAATAGATGAACTCACCAACACAACTGACATCATACCCCCCTCACACCGGCACAAACAAATTACGAAAATATCAGACCTTCTACGAGAATCGACCTAACGGACTTGACTCTTTACCGAATGGCTCTCGCGAAGAAGTCGAAGACGGTTTGAGATAAAATGAAGAATGGAAATTATTATACAGCATACTTGGAGGGATAATCGTAATATATGTATATGTCGCACAAGTTTAATGTCTCACAATTTATATTGATTGGTTGACCGTATAGTCGTGTAACATGTTGTCACAGACCGGACCGGTTGGCAAGATAAGTAGACCATTGTGAGCTTTTGTAGCGATTTTCCCAAAGATGGCAGAGGCTATAGTAAGTATGAACATGTTGCAACATTTATTAAAGCAATACGATATGGGAAACAGAATTATAGTCTATCGCATAGCCACCGACATTCACAATTATACTTTACGCAGTTGATCGTAACTAATATGTTATTCCATACTTTATGTCAGAACAATGGTGAATCATCATTCTCGAAAACGAAAAACAAAGGCAAAGCCAAACAAACTGAAGACAATGAGATTGATGATAGTACCCAATCGGACAAAAATCTGAGTGCAATCCAATTGAGGGAACAGGTGATCAAATGCTTAGAATCAATTAGCAACAACAATGACAGCAGGCATCACTTTATCAGACTCCATAACTTGTTATTGACAACCAAGGATAGATTGGATAATGGTCAATTGGAAAATATATTGAAGACAATAGGAACTGCAAACATTTCATATATGACACATACAGTAACAACTGGTATGGAGTTGGAGCTACATCTCAGGACATATGTGTTGGCATTAGAAGCATGGGGCAGGAGACCAGCAATAATGACAAAGGAATTCCGTGAGTCCTTGTATGGACATCTTGCTGTTTTGAATGATTTTCATCAACGGCATGCTGAAGCACTAAGGAATGGTTTGAACAAAAACATTAAATCTGAGTACAATCCATACAATGAACAAAGAACTGCATATGACTTGTATTCTAATTTAGAGAAAGGTATCAATTGCCAGAATTACAATATTGATTTTTTACTTATACATTTACGGGACACTCTTCATGCAATGCATGATGATGAGACAGTCTTATTTAAGATTATAAATGCACTGCAAGCTGCATTCACTGGCTTGGTTGGAATTTTACCAGGCATGGCTAATATTATGGCAAATATTCAAACACCATTTGATAACAATACTTCTCTTGAGACATATAATAATATTCAACAAGCATTAAGTCCCAAGTTTCCTATCAGCTATTGGTACAAGGATTGGAGATATCTATACAGTACATATCAAGCATTTGTTGAATGGTCAGATATACCAATCAATAAGGATTTAGTTTTCAAAGGTGAATTGATGATTATTAAAGACTTGTGGAGATTTGGAGATCAAGAATGGGCCAAAGCTGCTGTAAAATCAGAATCAAAGATGGATTCCTTTAAGTCTAACTTGAAGCACACTTTGGTCCATATTGGTGGCTATGCCCCTGTATCATATCCATACTCTTTATTGTATGGCATATTAGAAATTACTCAAAAACTTATATTATCTACAAAGAATACTAGTACTTTGGCTCACTGTTATTATCTTGCAAAATTGACACTTGACATTGTGTTGACAGAAAACATTCAATTTAAAGCAATGGAAGTCTTGATGACACTTTATAACAGGGAACCAGATACTGTTACTAATACCTTTTCAGTTGTCAAAGTAGATCTATCCCAACATATTGAACATCTTGCAGAATTGGATGGAGCTAATATTAATAAAAGCCTTCAGGATGCAATAGAATACATTAATATAAATTATAAATTTACCAGGCCCACATTACTATCAGAAACATCAATGTCAAAGCAAAAAGCAGTGCTAGGACAGACCCCTGAGGAATTGCTTGATTCCAATCCAAATGATTTGTTAATTTTGGATATGGTGGCAGATCATCTCACATGCCCCTTTACACAGAAAGTTACAGATGACTTTAGGATATTACCATGTGGACACAAAATCAGTTATTCAGCATTAGAGACATTTATGAAATTAAATTATCTTTCATTAAAATGTTTTTATTGTAATCAGAAAATCAAAATTCAAGATACCAAATTACTAGAAAGTTCACCTATCTATAAAGCATTGTATGAAAAGTTTGTTGAAACTGGACATATTACACCAAAAGCCAACACAAATAACTTTACAACAGCTGTAGGAAACCAGGATGATATAGATAGTGATTCTGAGGAATATTCTATAATGAAAACAAAGTTTTTATATTTATTGAAAATGAAACCTAAAAAAACTCTTGTGCAAAGAATTAGAAGACCAAAAGGACAACACCCCACATACAGACAAGGCAAGAAAGCTTTCAATAATAGAAGATTTAGAGATGCAATAACCTGGCTGGAAAGAGCACTTGAACATTATCCTAACAGTTCCACCATTCAGTGTGATCTTGCTGCTGCATATATGTATTGTTCAGACTATCAAAAATGTTATGATTATATAAATGAGACTATCAAAAATAATCCTAAAAACGCCAGAGCTTGGGCAATACTCGGAGAGAATTATAGGCTTCAATCTGAATATAGACAGTCTCTTAAAAATCTTAAACAGTCATTGGAGATTGAACTAAATAATGCATATGCATTGAGAGAAAGGGGGGAAGTCTATCGAATGCTTAATCAATATGACAATGCATTAGTTGATCTCAATAAGTCGTTGGAGATTGATCCGAATAGTGCATTGGCATTGATAAGAAGGGGGGATGTCTATCGAATGCTTAATCAATATGACAATGCATTGGTTGATCTCAATAAATTGTTGGAGATTGAACCAAATAATGCATATGCATTGAGGGAAAGGGGGGAAGTCTATCGAATGCTTAATCAATATGACAATACATTAGTTGATCTCAATAAATCGTTGGAGATTGATCCGAATAGTGCATTTGCATTGGGAGGAAGGGGGGAAGTCTATCGAATGCTTAATCAATATGATAATGCGTTAGTTGATCTCAATAAATCGTTGGAAATTGATCCGAATAATGAAGTTGCATTGAGCGGAAGGGGGGAAGTCTATCGAATGCTTGATCAATATGATAATGCATTGGTTGATCTCAATAAATTGTTGGAGATTGATCCGAATGATGCATTGGCATTGAGAAGAAGGGGGAAAGTCTATCGAATGCTTGATCAATATGACAATGCATTGATTGATCTCAATAAATCGTTGGATATTGATCCAAATAGTGCAATTGCATTGAGCGTAAGGGGGGAAGTCTATCGAATGCTTAATCAATATGACAATGCATTGGTTGATCTCAATAAGTCGTTGGAGATTGATCCAAATAGTGCATTTGCATTGAGCGTAAGGGGGGAAGTCTATCAAATGCTTAATCAATATGACAATGCATTGGTTGATCTCGATAAGTCGTTGGAGATTGATCCAAATAACGCGTCTATATTGGAACTCAGGGGGAAAGTCTATCGAATGCTTCATAAAAACAACGAGGACGGCAACCCCGAAAACAAGACAAATGCCTTAGACGATCTCAATAAAGTAACAGGAAATTGATCAAAATAAAATTGCGTTATATATAAACTGCAATATGTTTATCAATGAGTAGCATTAGTATCTAGTTTGAAATAAAATAAAGGTTTTAGTTGATAAATTTATACGTATGTGCTTTTGAATTGTAGTTATCTCCAAATTATTCGTGCTCCGTCTACGAGTTATACATAATAATAACACGTTAACCAACATGGAGGTTGAAAGTTAAGCGAATTGATCACGTTCTATGAAATTAATATCACTGTCACACAAAAATGCTATCAAATTCTAATTCAACCGTAAACTATTCACATAAAGCACTTGTTATGTAAACATGTATTTTTATATAATAACTTCTTCACATGCGGTTCTGCTGTCCTGATTCGTATTAGGACGTCTAAATAAATCACTAACGATATTTTAAAGCTGCTTCTTACACATGGTATTTCCAGTCAAGTTAAACAAACGAAAAACAACACCGGAATAATTCTGGACGTTGAGAAGCAAAACGACGCAAAGTTTCGGTAGTACGTAAATTAATTGTGACAGTGCCAAAACGTATGCCATGTTCTCATAATAGGGTGCTAACAGATACTCAATACTCCTAATTTACTAACTACATCGATGGTTGCGTTAAACAAATGGATGCGTAAGAAGAATTTATATCGATAATTCAGGTTGGTTGAATTGTCTATTTTAACCAAACTATTAATAGTCCAAACATTGTGTTATCACTTTTTTTGTTCATGCGTATGCGGAATGGATGCAATTTCAGTAAGCAATTCATTCTCGCTTGCTGACTGATTGTCAACAGGAATATACCAATACATTGTGTATTCTCGAAGAAATAAATGTTCTAATCATTTACAATTATTTTATCCATCCAACAATAGTCTTAGTCTGCTTGGCCAACTTTTGTTTTGTTTCAGCGGCTTGAACCTTGAAATCTTTCGACCCCTGAAATCTTTCAACCCCTGAAATCTTTCTGTAACGCTATTTATTATTACTATTACTATGTTCACTTTAAATAATAAACCAGTTTCTCAGATTTCATGGTATCTTCTGCAAGACAGGCTTACTTTATCACTTGTTTTCTGTAACAATGACATGGTATAATTAAAATTTGGCCGTCCCGTCACCTGGCAAAATTGTTGTATTATTCGCCGGTACAGAAATGCTTACATTTTATATACATAGGCAAGGACTCAAGAAAAGTCTCCATCGCAATACAACCCAGGTAATGGCGGGCATTTTGATACCACCAACTACTTCAGGATATATATATAGCTAAGCATATGTATTTTTTGCATTCCGGTTACAGTTGATGCAAAAGACTGGGGCGATGGAGAAGACGGTATGTGTTCTTGTTTTGACGTCATGTTTGATGCCTATGGACGATAGAGCATGTGTTGGCTACTGTCAGGATAGCGCTATCTAAAATCTACTTTTGAATATTTATCTTCATAGGTTGATAATCGATTCGAAGAGGAGGAACGACGTATCAAAAAGTTTGTATCTTGAGTTTTCACAGTAGAGACTTGCATTCTGCGTAGGATGAGTAATCATAGTGGACATTTTCTTGTATTAATTTAAACGAACACTTTTTGATTCCAGTCTACAAGCCAAAACTGAAAAGCTCAACAAAGAAGCTAAAGGTTACTTGAATTCGCTTCGATGTAAGTTTTTCTTTTAAAAGTTGTGCTTTTATTTTGAAGATACGTAGAATTTTTATTGATTGTTCTCGCTCTCATTTTGGAAGCAATGATAAGCGCTCAAACGCGTATTGCCGAAACTGTTGATCATTTCTATCAGGGTTCGAGTGACAATAACTACACTGGGTCTAGATATAAACAAGTGGCTGACCAACTTGATGTTGATTGTAAAGAGTTATTGGTAACCCCGTTTTCGTAGTGAATCGTTTGCACCCCGTTGATGAAATTTTCTCAGCATCTGAATTAATCATATTGTCAACTCTAGGTAGAGCCATATAAAACCACTGTATCAGAGCCAATAAATAGATTCAGCGGATACTTTCCAGAAATAAACGATGCCATCAAAAAACGAAACAAAAAGCTGCTAGACTATGACTCTCAACGAGCCAAAGTGCGTAAACTAGTTGAAAAACCCTCTTCTGATGATCCCGACAAATTACCACGGGTAAGTGTCATTTAATAGCCTCTTTATCGTAAAGAATCATTCCACAGGCATCATAAATAATTTTCTTAAATATAGGCTGAGCAACAGCTCAATGAGGCTAGAGAAATCTATGAATCTCTCAATAACCAACTTGTCACCGAGATGCCTGAACTCGTGGACCTTCGAGTACCATATCTAGACCCATCATTCGAAGCCTTGGTGAAAATTCAATTGCGGTTCTGCCAAGAGAGTTATGACGCATTTGGAAGCTTGAATAGTGAATTCCCGTCTGATAGAGAAGTCGATGGTAAGGTTGAGGAGGTATTGCAACAGATGAAAGATTTAACCATTTGTGGCATGGGATAAGAAGGATCGAGTGTTGAGTTTTACGTAATTCCGAATAATTTTTGGGAGCATAGATGTACAGTAGTTAAATAACATAATTTATACTGTTTCTACTTGTTAGAGTCAGCTTCATCTGTGTGTAGGAGAAACAGTTTATCATTCTATAGTTTATTCATACAATCTGTGGCCTTTGCATACTAAGATCCGAGGATTAACTCATTCTAATAAACATCGGTCATCATTGAGACGACCGGTTTATAAATAAACACTCCAAGGCATTTTATTCGGTTGATTCAAAATTGTCTAAATGCTATTTATACAGTCGAAGCAGCGCTTATCATACAATTCTAACTGTACACTTTGTCGAATACTGCCGAAATTTCACTTTCGCTGCCTCCAACAATTTTGCCGTCATTTCATCCGATTTGTAGGAACTAGTCAAACGAAACACAATCAATATGGAATGGCAAACGGTGAATCAGTCAGTGGTAAAAGGAAAAAAAAGAAGAATACTTGCTAATTGTAGACGACTTCCGAAACGCCAACTTGTATAAGTTTCTTTGTACAATCTACTTAATGGGTATTCATTTAGTGTTTAGAAACTAATTTCGGTAATCATTTCAGACCATCGTTGAACTTACCAAGACATGGACACCTGTATTTACAGACAGACGATATACAAAGCATAGATTGCAGCGATCAGTTCTAAATACCCTTGGCCTCTAGTCACCCCGCCATCACACGCCAGAACTTACGTATTACAATACAATATACTTTTTTCCCCCACTCTGGCCCTCCCCGCCTCTAATAAAGCGTTTTCCTCAGCGTGTAAGCATAGACAGTAATCCGACCTGTCTCCACAATTAGAACCCATGTTACATTTTGGACATCCCCCCTCGTTACAGTTTTTGAGTCCCATTGGTGTTCCATTGTATCCCGTAGCCACAACCCTATGATTTCTCACTAGAATGCACCCAACTCTACGCTTCATGCAATTAGATCTCTTGGCTGCTAGATCAGCCATGTACATAAAATAGGAATCCCATATTGGTCGTAATCTTTCGTGATTAGTTATTTCTAGTGTTGATAGGTGAGAATAGAAACAAGAAAGTTCGTGAAAGGCATTGACAATCGTCAGATCAGATGTAGACGTCATTTTGTAAAGAGATGGTGATGAAGGTGAAGGGGATTCGGATGAATATTGAAAGACACTGTGATCGTTGTTTTCGATAAATTGTTCTAGACTTTGTAGTGATTTCTCTAATTTGCACTTGCTAAATGAATGAGTATATATTAGACATCTATACATGAACTCCATTTGGAACACGGTTAGATCATCTTGCATACCGATTGCGATATCTCTCATATCTCAGCATCACCGGTCCATCTACTGCTATCAATAGAAAGAAGGGCCGTCTCCTATATTACCAGCGTAGCAATAATTGACGATTGAGTTAATAGCTATATTTGAAAAGATGCGACATGGACTGCTACAAACCTGTAAGATGCAAGTATCTCTTCGCTATCAATATCACATGTAACAAAATTATCTTCCCAATTTTCAGTAACGTATAGTAATAAATTCTCTGCACTCTTAAAAATCAATGGGTGGAGGTCGTCACGTTTGTTTTCACGTAGGGATAAAGCCTTAAAGTTATGCTCTTTTACAAGCCAGCCCGCTACCGTGTGCTTTCCCGAGCACGGGGTTCCTATTATTCCGATAAACATTGGGCACGCAGGGAGAATGAATGGGCAAACAGTTAGAAAAAAGAAAAAAAATTCTATAGACGTATTGCTTCCGAAGCCCAATCAAATGAAGCTTTGGCGCGTACAAGTAAGACGCGCGGTCGAATCTTCCGAGAAAAAAAAGGATCCCTGATCTTCAGTAACACAGATATTTACAACCAGGGATACTTGACCTTTTTTAGTATAGAATACACAGTGAGTGAATAGGAATGGTTGAGTAATCATATATGTAATATCTTAAAAAGAGACAATGCTTAAATCAAGATAGTATCCTGTTTTGTCATTACGGACGCACCACCAATGAACCCGTGTCATATATTTACAAACTGGGTTTTATTACACTAAGCTGTTCTCTGCTTGTCTGCTCGTTTCAGTCCTATCTATATAGGTACTCTGGGGCTTTTATATTACTAACCGTACAAAATGAACATTATTTGTGATAGCAAAATTAGAAGTATGCGAACGGGATAGATGTAGCGTATGCCACGGCAAGCGCGTCCAAAATGAAACCAAGTCTAGCATATTATTTGCCACACTTACGTCTGTTAGACCACGTGCTTGTTAATCGTAACTACTTATAACCACCCGTGTTGAATAGACAAGTGCCGTATTTCACATAAAGAACCGTTGTTGGAGAACAATAAATGAACGAAAGCATACTCGTACTGGATATATTACAATTTATTTCACACAGTCTGTTTCTACATTAACGCCTCATGTTAATTAATATTGTCCGAAATCTTGAGTTGCTGGTCAAGTAGAAAGATTAAATAAAAATAAGGTTAGCAATGCTGATAATCTCTTTACACACTTCATTACTAATAATACCTAGCATTGAATTTCCAGTAGGTAAAAGCTTGCTGGAAAACTTGCTCTCCTTTTCAACACGCGACAATGGTTTTATCTTCTCGTTGTAAAAGATGGTATTCCACACATTGTTATGGGATTTATCCTTGTCAGCCTCCCGAATTTGGTCAACTACGAGCGAATAAAGTTTTCTGGCATCTGGACGCTCGTTGGGATCAGCATTACAGCATTTCTCAGCAAGTCGCTTATAAGGCTCTGGTGCCGATTCCGGCATCTCTGGCCGCAGCCCACCACAAATGCGTATTGCCAAATTCTTGTCAAATGGCAAATCCCTAAAAGGTAGCTCACCACTAGCAATCTGATACATAAGAATTCCGAGCGCATAGATATCTGATTTTTGGGTAAACTTGCGAATTTGAAAAATTTCCGGTGCAATATATGGTAATACACCTTGAACGGTTGAAGAATCCGATTTGGATGAATTCTCTGATTGAGAAAGTCCAAAATCACATATAAATGGCTTGCTAAGGCCCCGCACGAATTGCTTGCTCAAATAATCATATTCTAACTTTAGTATTTTATCCAAAACTATGTTTCCACCATGGAGATCACAATGTACTAATCCTGTATCATGGATAGCAATCAGGCGATCCACAATACCCTTTACGCATTCCAGCTTCATCTTCCATGTCAGTCTGTTAATATTTTCATCCAAGTAAGACTGAAGATCGCCATCACTAGCATATTGCAGGACAATAATGTACTCTTCTGTGTCTGGCCGTCTGGTGACTCCGTAGACATTGAGGGATCCTGGTTTAGAGCACCTAATATGATTCCTGAGCTATTAAGACAAGTTATAGCATTAAATCACTGAATAAAAAAAAATAAATTTCTTCACAGTAATGACACGTACCTCAGAAATGAACGGGGTTATTGTCTGATTAAAATTTTTAAATCGTTTTAGCGCGACGCGTTGATCTTTTTTTAAGAAATATACATCTGCTTTGCATTTGGCAGTATAGACTGTTCCATAACCTCCAGAACCAATCTCTTCAATTTCACCAAAGTTGGTATAATCTATAAATTTCATTCTGTTAAACTCATTCAAGCTCTCAATCTCCATAAATCTGTTCAAGGCTGAAATAATGTCGTGATAAAACATCAAGTAATAGTCTCCGGTCGATAACTCTCGAGTGATTCCAATAATCCAGATGTTTCGAGGAGTGGTTATCTCTGGATAACTTTCGGTCAACTATGTTTCAACAGTGTTAAGACCATGCACATTTCGAATACAGGACTTGAAGTTTTTAACCATTTACCTGACAAAAATCAAAAAATTGGGCATTCTCTCCATCAATCACCTTCTTGAGCATCACTTTTATCAATTCATTTTTATTTGCTGTTCGTCTTAGCCAATTTGCCGTTCGCGTGCATCCATGTTCTAACGACGGTGTTTCCTGTATATTGATTAACTGAGAATATTCTATCCATTGCAGATGACTATCAAAGATCGCATCTGTATTCTTCCACGATTCCATCATGAGCGAGTCTAAGGATTTGTTGCCGGCAGTCCAATTAAGAGGTTTCGGTGCTTTGCATTCAAAACAAAACGCGCTTATTCTAGAATCCAAGCACTCTGTGCAAGCCAAGCATAATCCATCTTTATAGGTTTTCTGTCCAGGGTCAGTACCATCTTTGATCAATTCATATTTTCTAAAGAACAAGTTGTACGAAAATCCAATCGACATCCAAACTGTCGTGTCAAGTATATCCGGATGAGCATTGCATAACTAGGGGGGGGGTATAAATTTATTATCGTCAATACAAATTTGAGCAATTACTGTTTCAAGCTTGCATTTAATGATATAATGCTTACTCTACGGTAATACGAATCGTCCGTTTTATCTGATATTTCAAGCGGAATCACCTCGATAGCGTGTGGACGGTGTAAAAGACCACGAGGCCCAAATGAAACTAGATTTTCGATATCATCAAATTCAAGCGGACCAGACGGAAGCCACTCCAAGTAGGCTTCGTTTCCTGATTTTGTTTGCATCTGTGTTTTCTTGATGAATGCGTCGAGGGTCTTGTTGTTGCTAGTCCATCCATTAGATAACTCTTTGTGACCGCAAATACACCACACGGGGCTACACCGAAGTATTCCGCACGAAGAGCAGAACCCATGAAGAAAATGAGAATGGTGAAATATGGCATCAGCTATTAGATAATAATTGCTCTCGTATTTGGTAAATCCGTTTATTAATTTGTTGCGGCGGACGAGCCAATATGGATATCTTTGGAAATGTTTAATGTTGGGTGGGTTTTCATACTCGTGTGTTGGAAATGAATATATCCTAGCAAATTCATTGACATGTTCCGATGTGCATTTATCACTGGTACCAAGTAATAGCATTACAACCGTCTTACGCCCAAGCGTACCATCAGGCCGTGTTTGATTACGTTTAGCAAAACGATAATGAAAGGGTTGACTTGTTGCAATTTGAATTGGCTTTATATCTAAAAGTTCAGAATCTGGGATCCACGTAATTTCATCGTCGCTGGTTTTGGCAGACTTGATTAGCCGGTCGATTGCCGGGCATTCGGAAACGCTTTTACTAACTTGCGACTGCGCAGGTGATAACATTGAGTGCAAATACTCAATTGGTAAAAATCTAACAAATATACACATGCGTAACACATCATGTGACTGAAAGCAGTGAAGTGTAACTTTGACAAATTTATGTATTAAAGAACATATAAGTCGATAATTTCGCTTGTACATAACCAGATTCTATACATTCCCGCCTACTTGCATCATGCATCTACTTTTTAATTATCGCCGAGGGATACCTCGACCACGGCCTCTGACAGCACGTTGTGCAGCACCCCTTGGCATGGGTGGACCACCCTGAGGCTTTTCCGATTGAGGGTTTTTAACAGTCTCATCAACACTGAGAATCAAGCAAGCAGCCTCAGTGGCTGCGGCAATGGCGTTAGACTTCACAAGGGCGGGTTCCCATACGAAGGCATCAAAATTATCAGCAATTGACTCGGAATTAATGTCTACCCCATGCCAGACGGCGCCTTAGAACAGTAACGAAATAAGCGTTAGGAAATGAAAACAACGAAAAACGACGATGAAACTGCCAAATCGATGGTATACCTTGTGCGTGCTTCATCCTAAGCCTATTTAATATATCGGTAGCATCAAATCCTGCGTTATCACATAGCTGTCGAGGGATAACCTCCAAGGCGCGCCCAAATGCGCCAATAATCAGTTGTTGTTTGCCTAGGATAGTTCGAGAATGGTCTCGAAGGTATTTTGATAGTTCCATCTAATAAAATCAATGCAATACAGTCACACAATCTTGTTTCCTATTGAGAAATGCACACCAAACAATCCGACAACATACATACCTCAATTGCTCCACCTCCAGCTACAATCAAGTTGTTCTTGATGCACCTCTTTACTATCATTATAGCATCGTGTAAACTTCTCTCGACCTCGGCAATAAACTGTTCGGCACCGCCTCTCAATATTAAAGTACACGTCTTGGCAGCTGGGCAGCCTCGGAACATATTAAATCTCTCTCCGCCTATTTGTCGCTCTTCAAAATGCTCGCATGTACCCAAATGCTTCTCTTCGATATCTGATGTTGTTGATTGGATCGAACCGCCCAATGCTTGCACTACACGATTGAGGTCATCGGCAGGCACACGTCCAGCACAAAAGATATCTCTGTCAGCAAAGTATTGAGTAGCCAAGTCACCAATTGGTAGTTTGGACAAAACAACTTTGGCTCCTGTCTTCACGATGGCTTCCAACTTGGAATAGATGATTTGCCATTCAGCATCTACGATAGCTTGATATTCCTAAAATAATAGCGCAATTAATTAATGGAGGTATAAATGATTTGCACATACTATGAACATGCAATAACAAATACGTATAATAACTGTATGAATGACTAATGCATATTGTGTATATACAGATTATTACTCATAATGTCACCACACGGCTAACCGTCCTACATACACTGACGTCTTCAACTCTGACTTCTGCATTATCCTTTTCAGCTTTCAACTCTAGTTCAACGTTCAAGGAAAGAATCTTTGGATTCTTGAATGACTTGGGTTGTTGTTCAAAGCCCGCGTAAGAGAATGTTTTCTTAAAC